TCAGCTTATGCTAATTACTAAGATGCATTATGAAGCGTACTTTGGTATTGTGAATTATAAATGTACATGTCCCACTCTTCAATCAAATTGTAAATTCTTAGAAGGGTATCTTTCTTTGGAAGAGAGAGTCCTATACTTCCACAGGTTTTTGTTTTGTTTGCACATAGCAGGTGCCAAAAAAAAATATTTGTTGAATGATTTTTAGCTTCCAAAATTGTGCAATAGGATCTTCTAGATTTAAGTGTGAGAAGGTCTAAGCTGTTAATAGATCCCTGAAAGGACATACTTTCATATTGAACTGAGGATAATAAAATATTGTTTGGACCAACTTGTGAAAAGAATTGTGATTTTTGTATGTAACACAATCCAGAAAATGACTAAATGGTAGAAAAAATGTGAATGAGGGGAGCCTGGGTGGCTCAGGCAGTTAAGTGTTGGACTCTTGATTTTGGCTCAGGTCATGATCTCAGTGTCATAAGATCGAGCCCCACAATGGACTCTGTGCTCAGTCGGGAGTCTGTTGCTCTCTCTCTCCCTCTGCCCCACTGCCCCACTGCCCCAAGCTCGTGCTCTCTCTCTAAAATAAATAAATCTTTTTAAAAATGTGAATAAGGAAGGTTTCCATTTTGCACTGATCATACAAATCTTATGAGGTAAAAAATATTTAGTTTAATTGTAAATAAATATTATTTACTAGTTGTTTAGATACACAAATGACATTTTATTATTTAAATATATGACAAACTGATTTTTTTTTTTAACTGAGTAACATTTTCCACAAACAATGGGACTTTCTAAGAATTTCTGTGTTAGGAAACATCTATGTTAATATTTTGTTTCCATTTGAACAGTCATCATACAGACATCAGTTTGTATGACATAAACGGGGATAGATGTAGCTTTTGGCCTGTATTATTCCATGAGCCCTTATAGAGCACATCAAAAATATCTGTCTACAACAGAACTATCATATTGTCCACCTAAAAAAGAAATCAAATAGGGTGCACAAAATGATAGGGTATTAGGTAAAAGAATGTAGTCAATTATTGTTTATACGTTTCCTACAGTGAGTCTCATCTGAAGATGTGTTGTGTGGTTATTACATCAGTAGAGAACTCTTCTCATCTTCTGTAAAAGAGCATATCTGATTATAGGGGTAGGGAAGTGGCTATAAGTTCTAGTCCCACTCACACTATTAACAGAGCTACTCCACCCCATCTGGAGCCTGCCCACCATTGCCTTACTGACACATCAGCTATCCCTTGAAGCAGCTTAGGAGACTATAAAAAAGTCTTTTCTAACTCTCTTTCAGGGCTGGTATAAACCAGGAGCTGAAAAATTGAAATGCCGTAAAAGCAAATCAGTATGTGGGCGCATCAGGGGCGCCTGGGTGGTTCAGTCGGTTAAGCGTCCAACTCTTGGTTTCTGCTTAGGTCATGATCTCGGGGTCCTGGGATGGAGCCCCGCATCGGGCTCCCTGCTCAGTGGGGAGCCTGCTTCTCCCTCTCCCTCTGCCCCTCCCCTTGCTCATGCTCTCTCTCTAATAAAGTCTTTTAAAAAAAGGCAGGTCATGATCCCAGGGTCCTGGGATCGAGCCCCGCATCGGGCTCCCTGCTCGGTGGGAAGCCTGCTTCTCCCTCTCCCAGTCCCCCTGCTTGTGTTCCCTCTCTCGCTGTGTCTCTCTCTGTCAAATAAATAAATAAAATCTTTAAAAAATAAAAATAAAAAAGGCAAAAAAAACAAACAAACCCCAAAAGATGGCTAGATAGAGGGATGTATAGATATGTGAAAAAAACAGTTAAATGTTAATGGTAAAATTTAAATAATAGGTACACATGTGTTCTCTATAAAAATAAAAGGTTAATAAGAGAATATTACAAAAAAATCTCTATGTCCCTGAATTTCACAAATTACATGAAGTCAAGTCCTTGAGAGACACTATGGTGGTTTTAAGGTATATCCAACATTCTTTAACTCCCTCTTCAAAAGTGGAGTCTAATTCCCTTCCCTTTGAGTGTAGGCTTAGCTTAGTGTTCTGTTTTAATAAATAGAATACGGCAGAAGTGATGGTGTTTGGCTCCTGAGGCTAGGTCACAAAAGGCATTGTGGTTTCCTCTCTGCCCTCTCTCTTGGATCACTCACTTGGCAGGAAACCAAGTCTTTGGGACACTCAAGCAGTTCTTTGGAAAAGCCCAAGTGGTTGGAAATTGAGGCCTCTTGCCAACAACCAGCAATAAATTGAGACTTCCTGATAACAAGCAGTGAGGAACTACAGCTTCCTGCCAAAAGCCATGTGAGCAAGCCACCTTGCAGGCAGATCCTCCAGCCTTAGTGGAAATTTCATGACTACAAGCCCAGCCGACATCTTGACCCATTAAAGATCCCGAACAACTCAGTGAAGTGCTCCTGAATGCCTCACCCACAGAAACTGTGAGATAATGCTTACTTTTAAGCTATTAAATTCTGAGGTAATTTGCTATGCAGCAATACATAAACATAGTCAACAAATGACCAAAGTTTACTCAAGAAAAATAATTCAACATGAATAGTCCTGTATCTATTAAGGAAATTGAATTAGTAGCTAAAAATCTGCCAACAAAGAAAACTCCAGGCCTGGATGGCTTCACTCTTGAATTGTATCAAACATTTAAGAAAGAAATAATGCCACCTATTAGATTAATTGTTGTTCTTTTCAATGTCATTTTTTTTCTCTGACTGCTTTTTCCGTCTTTGGTTATCAGTTTTACAGTGATGTGATTCCATGTGGTTTTTCTTTTTATTTATCTTGTTTGGGATTCGTAAAGACTCTTGAATTTATTTTGATGTTGTAAAGTTCTCTGTCATTATCTTTTAAAACACTGCATGTTTAATTTTCTTTCTCCTCTCCTTCTGGGACACCAATTTCCTATGTTAGACCTTACATATCTTCCATGTTTCTTAACTTTTCTTCTGTATTTTCATTGTTTTGTCTCTCTCCACACCATTCTGGATGTTTTCTTCTAACTTGTGCTCATTCACTAACTCTTCAGCTGTGCCTGTTCTGCTGTCAAATTCATCCACCAAGATTCTAATTTTGGTCATGGTAATTTTCAGTTCTAGTATTTCCATATTGTTTATGTAATTTTCAGTTCTTTGTCAAAATTCACATAAGTTTAGTTTGCGTCTGAAAATGCTAATATCTAGAGGTCCTGCAGATATGTTTAAATGGAAGCTTCTGCTTCTGCTGGTATTCATTCATGTCTTTTGGTGTGGCTACTTTTTATTGTATGCCCTACAAGGTACTTGCCAAACTATTTATAGAAATTATTTTGAGGCCTACGGCATTAATTTTTCTATTGCTGCATAACAGTATTACCTCAAATTTAGCATCTTAAAACAACAGACATTGATTATCTCATAGGTTCTGTGGGTCATGAGTCCAAACATACCTCCACCGGATCTTCTGTCCCGGGGTCTCACAAAGCCAAATCAAGGTGTCAGCCTGAGCTGTGATCTCAGCTGAGATTCTACTAGGAAGGGATCCACTTCCAAGCTCACACAGTTGCAGCATGCAGTTCCCTAAGGACTACTGGACCAGGGGCCTACTTTTTGCTGTTCGCTAGAGGCCACCCTAATTGCTTGCCATGTGGCCCTCTCTGAAGTCCTGGTCACAACATAGCAGCTTGCTTCTTTATTTTGTATTTTTTTTTAAGATTTTATTTATTTATTTGACAGAGAGAGAGAGCAGAAGAACACAAGCAGTGGGAGTGGCAGAGGGAGAGGGAGAAGAAGGCCCCCTTCCAAGTAGGGAGCCCGATGAGGCCTCAATCCTAGGACCCCAGGATCATGACCTGAGCCAAAAGCAGTCGCTTAACCAACTGAGCCACCCAGGTGTCCCAGCAGCTTGCTTCTTTAAAATCAAGAGAGAGAATTAAAATAATAAAAATAAAATAGGGGTGCCTGGGTGGCTCAGTTGGTTAAGCCTTGGACTCTTGGTTTCAGCTCAGATCAGGATCTGAGGGTTGTGAGATTGAACCCCACATTGGGCTCCATGCTCAGCATGGAGTCTGTTTGGGATCCTTTTTGCTTCTCCCCCTGCTCACACACACATGCACGCTCTCTCTTTCTCTCAAATAAATAGATCTTAAAGAATAAAATAAAATAAAATTAAATTAAATTAAAGGAGAGAATTCCTTAACAAGATGAGCATTACAATCTGATGTAATGTAATCATGTCACATTATCACGTACATCCCATCATCTTTGTGGTATTCCATTGATTAGAAGCAAATCATAGGGCACCCCCTACACACACACACACACACACACACACACAAGAATACCAGGATACAGGGATCATGGGGGGCCACCTTAGAGTCAGTCCACCACACTTAGGATATTAATTTCCTCTTGGCTTCTGCCAAGCACCTGGGAGCTCTAAATATCCTAGATAATCTCATTTCATTTCCTTACTCAATTACCTAAAAAAAAATGTGTTTCAACATAATCTAATTTATTAATTTACAGCAAAACAAAGATTTACTTTTTTAGCCTAGAAAAAATAGATGGTACAAAATTTTCCCATTAAATTATATTGAAAATCTATTTTTGGAGATTTCCATGATGAAAAGAAAATTCTATTACTATACAATGGAAATTTATGCCTAAAACATGAGAATCTAGAAATTAGCATAGAATTATAAAACTTTCAAAGCAGTTGATGTTTTGCTAATATCCTCATATGAAAGTCTCTTAAATGTTGAATATTCCTACTATTATATATTGTATCACTCAAGCCTGCATTGCTAATCTTGAGAAAGAAGAACAAAGCTGCAAGTATCACAATCCTAGATTTCAAGATATACTATAAAGCTATAATAATCAAAACAGTATGGTACCAGTACAAAAATAGACACACAGATAATGGAACAGAATAGAGTCCAGAAATAAACCTAAAATTATGTGCCCAATTAATGTACAATAAAAGAGGCAAAAATCTACAATAAGGAAAAGACAGTCTCTCTCATAAATGGTGCTGGGAAGGGGTGCCTGGGTGGTTCAGTCACTTAAGTGTCTGACTCTTGATTTTGGCTCAGATCGTGATCTCAGGATCATAAGATCCAGCCCTGCATCAGGCTCTGCACCAGGTGTGGAGGCTGCTTGGGATTCTCTCTGTCCCTCTGTCCCTCCTCTCTCTCTCTTTCTCTCTCTCTCTCTCTCTCAAAAAGAAAGAAAGAAAGGGCTCATATTTAAAAATAACAATAAAAAATAAATGGTGCTGGGGAAACTGGACAGCTACATGCAAAAGAATAAAACCAGACTCTTTCTTACACCATACACAAACATAAATTCAAAATGGATTAAAGACCTAAATGTGAGACTTGAAACCATGAAACCCCCAGAAGAAAACAGGCAGTAATCTCTTTGACATTGGCCTTAGCAACATTTTTCCAGATATATCTCCTCCAGGCAAAGGAAACAAAAGCAAAAATTAACTACTAGGACTACACCAAAATAAAAAGCTTTTGCACAGCAAAGAGAAACATCAACAAAACAGAAAGGCAAACTACTGAATGGGAGACACTATTTGCAAGTGATATATCCAATAAGGGGTTAATATCCAACATGTATAAAGAACTTATACAATTCAACACCAAAGAAACAGTCCAATTTAAAAAATGGGCAGAAAAAAAAATGGGCAGAGGACCTGAATAGACATTTTTCCAAAGAAGACATAGATGGCTAAGAGACACATGAAAAGATGCTGAACATCACTAATCATCAGGGAAATGCAAATCAAAACCACAGTGAGATGCCACTTTACACCTGTCAGAATGGCTAGTAACAAAAAGACAAGAAATGATAAGTGTTGGCAAGGATGTGGGGAAAAAGGTGGGAATGTAAATTGATGCAGCCACCATGGACAACAGTATGAAGGTTCATTAAAAAAAAAAATGTAAGTACTACACGATCCAGTAATTCCACTATGGGTTATTTACCGAAAGAAAACAAAAACACTAATTCAAAAAGATATATGCACCCCTATGTTTATTGCAGCATTATGTATAATAGCCAAGATACAGAAGCAAGCTAAGTGTCTATCATAGATGAATAAAGAAGATATGATGTGTACACACACACACACACACACACAGGAATATTACTCAGCCGCAAAAAGGAATGGTAGCTTGCCATCTGCAAAAACATGGTTGGGCCTAGAGGACATTAGGCTAAGTGAAATAAGTCAGGGAAAGACATATACCATATGATTTCACTTATATGTGTAGTCTGAAAAATAAAACAAAGCAGAAACAGACCCATAAATATAGAGAATAAACCCATGGTCGCCAGAGGAGTGTGGGGTGGAGGGAATGGAAAATGGGTGAAGAGGAGTGGGAGATATAGGCTTCCAGTTATGGCATGAGTAAGTCACAGGATGAGAGGTACAGTACAGGGAATACAGTCAACAGTATTTTAACAGCCTTCCATGGTGACGGATGGGAGTTACACCTGTGGTGAACTTAGCCTGATGATAAACATATAACATATAAACTTGTCCAGCCACTATGTTGTACACCTGAAACTAATGTAACATGGTATTAACTAAACTTCAAGTAAAGAACAAAAAGAAAGAACAACAACAATAAAAAATGGGGCATGTGGGTAGCTCAGTCGGTTAAGCATCTGACTCTTGATCTCAGCTCAGATCTCGATTTCAGGGTTGTGAGTTAAAGCCCCACATTGGGCTCCATGCTGGCTGTAGAGCCTACTTAAAAAAAAATAAAACAAAAGATTGTATTGCTAAATAGAAATAACATACTGACTAAACCAGCATACTGGAATTATAGTCTGTGATGCTGATATAAATTTAAAATATTTGAAGAATGTTGTTATTTCATTTTAAAAAGGAAAATCTGAAATTCATAAAAACTTGTGCAATAGATACTGCATCCCTATCTTTAAAATACTGATTTTAAAGCACCTGAATGGCTCAGTTGGTTGAGCAGCCAGCCGACTCTTGGTTTTGGCTCAGGGCATGATCTCAGGTCCTGGGATTACCCGTGTCAGCCCCACACTCAGCAGAGAGTCTGTGGATTCTTTCTCTGCCCCTCTTCTGCTCATGCTCTCTCTCAAATAAATATATTTTTTTAAAGATTCTATTTATTTATTTGACAGAGAGAGACACAACGAGAGAGGGAACACAAACGGGGAGCAGGAGAGGGAGAAGCAGGCTTCCCGCGGAGCAGGGAGCCCGATGCAGGGCTCGATCCCACGACCCTGGGATCATGACCTGAGCCGAAGGCAGACGCTTAACGACTGAGCCATCCAGGCGCCCTCAAATAAATAAATAAATCTTAAAAAAAAATATTGACTTGGGAGTAGGACATTATATACATTTTGGAATCTTATTCTTTTTTTTTTTTTTAAGATATTTATTTATTTGTCAGAGAGAGAGAGCGCACACACAAGCAGGGAGAGCGGCAGGCAGAAGGAGAAGCAGACTCCCTGCTGAGCAATGAGCCAGATGCAGGGCTCAATCCCAGGACCCTGGGATAATGACCTGAGCCGAAGGCAGATGCTTAACTGAGCCACCCAGGCGTCCTGGAACCTTTTATTATTATGTGAATAAAGTATCAGGTTTATTCTTAAGATTTGTAACTATGAGACATGCTTTTGAGGTAAGCATCTAAGAAAGTAAAATATATGACTACTCTCTCTGGGAATAAATTTAAAAATATAATCTACCTATCACCCACCTTTGGTAGAGACACTAATTGCACCTACCTCAATCCTGTCCTCCTTTTTTTCTCCAATTTTTCCCAGGCATATGGTCATCCGGAATAAAGGCTTTATTTTTCATCTTTCCTCGCAGTTAGGTGGAGGGACCGTGACTAAGTCTTGGCCAGAGAAAGTTAAGTGAGGGTGCAACTTTTCATTCACTGCCCTCTCTCTTGCCGACTAGTGTTGATGCGAGGGAAAAGGCTTGAACAGCAATCTCGGAATGTGAGATAGAAGCCAAGTGCGGAGGTTGCTAGAGCACACAGCAGCCTTGGGATACTTACCTCTGAAATTCTTTTAAGTGAGAGGGAAAAATTGTTCTTTTTTTAAAGCCACTGGTATTTGGGGTTTTAGTTTTATGCTGTTGTACCTAACCTTAACCGATACACATTTCAGTTGTTGGCATATTACTCCTTTATTAGAAATTGTAAATGAGAAATTATTTCAACACCTGAAGACCAAACTATAACAGAAGATTCCATAGGTTCAAGATTGTGAGACATTCTGGAAAGAGTTTTCTGTAACGTGTATCCTTTCCGTGGCATGGCAACATCATTCTTCTTTAAAAAAGTTACTGGGCAGACATCATTTCCACCATCGCCTATATAAACAATTCGTGTATAATTCACTCCCTTTTGTAACTGTTTATCTACAAATTCTACCAAAACTACATTTTTGCAAAGATTTTTTGGGCACCTGTTGCAAGAATGAGCATGATAATTTTCCACAGTGAGATGACCATTGCTATCAAAAGCTGCTGGATTTGTAAACACTTTATCAAACACATCACGAAAACTGGTAGCTTCTAAAACCCAATCTATGAAGACTGAATTTGAATCTGAAATAATGATGCAGTCAAATTTATCCTTGTTCTTTCTTATAAAGTTCAAAAGTTCCACCATCCCTAGAGTGAAAGGCATTGATGTCACTGCTCTTTTCATTTCATCTTCTCTTACACCTTCATCTCCCAAATATTTAAAGACTCTGCCCATAAATTCTGTCCAAAATCCTTTTTCATAAGAATCTCGTAGTTCAATAGGAAGCTTTTTCTCTGGAGCACACTGTACAATCCAGGTGTCACTATTATCATCTATGATTGTATTGTCAAAGTCAAAAACAAGCAAAATTTTCATGGTTCCAAAAGCAAATGTGGGTTACCCTGAAAAAGAAGAAATATTGTTTCCTAAACACACTGTTTTACAGGTCTAGCTATTATACTTACTTAAACATTACTGAGTGTTAATCTGCTAAAACAAAGGGTTAATATAAAAAAATTAAAATGATTAAGCATTTAAGACTATCATTTAAGCACTTTTTCCTAAGAAGCAAAGTCCATTTTGAGTATTTTAAGTAAAGGGAAACAAAATATCTAAAAGGATATTCACAGTATTTTTGTGTTCCGGTGGGGATGATTCTTTGAGCACTCAGAATTAAACTACAGAGTAAGCCACTGAGAGGAGTAATTAAATAATTATTCTCTTACAGTCTAATTTAGGAAATTTATTTTAAAAAGACAGAAAAAAGTAGGCTAATCACTCTTATTGTTAAAATTATCAATCACAGGGCGCCTGGGTGGCTCAGTTGGTTAAGCAACTGCCTTCGGCTCAGGTCATGATCCTGGAGTCCCGGGATCGAGTCCCACATCAGGCTCCCTGCTCAGCAGGGAGTCTGCTTCTCCCTCTGACCCTCCTCCCTCTCATGCTCTCTGTCTCTCATTCTCTCTCTCGCAAATAAATAAAATCTTTTAAAAAAATTAAAAAAAAATTATCAATCACAAATTAGTTTAAAATATTTACAATAATCCACATATAAAATAACAAGTCACGTATAATATAAATCCTCTGTATACTGACCTAAATTCTGACCAAATTTAACACTTGCAAAAACATCTTGCAAAATTTGAGTAATTTTCCTAAAAAAGGTATTTAGCTTGAAATCATTAATGCCAGTGTTATAACTAAATGGTTGCTTGATGCTATACTTGAAATCCTAAACAAATTACTTAAAGTTCAGAGTCAATTCTATTCTTCTAGACTAGAAGTAACTTTTGTTAACAATTTTCACATTCATTTATATTTTCTTTAGACAGTTTAGCTCTGGAATACCAAATAATCTGGGTATGTGTGAAAAATCGCATTGCTTATGATATGACAATTACTTAATTCTTTGTTTTCATTAAATGATAATGAAGGTCATTAATTATAAATCTCAAGAAAAGGAAAAACTGGTCAACAGATGGTATGGATAAAAATTATGTAAAAAAGACAGTTATAAAGAATACCCAAGAGAAGCTACAATTACTGTGTATAAACAACAAAAAAATCTTTTTTTAAAGAGTAACTAATACTTTTAAAGATATCACAATACACCAGGCACTAGGCTAAGAACTTTACAATCTCATCATCTCACTGAACTTCATAACCCTATTAAGTAGAAATTACTATCCTCATCTTAAAGATATATAAACTGAAGCTTAAGTATTAGTTAAGTTAGTTAAGTTTTAGTTAAGTGGAAGAGCTGAAATTTGGACTCAGGTCCACTTGACTCCAAAGTTCATGCTTCAAGTACCGTACTCTAGTGCCTAAAAAATAGAATATTTAAAGCTTATTAATCAGTTTATTTTCTAAGTTTATTTATTTACTTTTTTGGAATCTCTACACCCAATACGGGGCTCAAACTTACAACCCCAAGATCAAGAGTCACATGGTCCTCCAAATGAGCCAGCCAGGTGCCCCACTTATTAATCAGTTTAAAAATAAATACTAGGTAGGTCATTTTGACAAAAGGATGTTTATTATATGAAAACATTCATTAGTCCCAAAGCACACACTAACCATAATACCACATCTACGACCTACTTATAACCATTCTGAGGTTTTAACAACAAATCCTAAAAAGAAAGTGAAGAACCTCACCAAAAAGAAAAAGAAGATATCAATTAGAAATGGAAAACATGGCATTTAACCACATATATTCTCTGGTTTAGCCAGGAGGTGAATAGATATCCAGCAGGTGAAAGTGAGAATAGAGCTTATTAACTCATACAAGAGTAAGTATTCTATGTCTCTCAATTTAGAATATCTGGAGAATAGCTAACCTAGAAGGGTAGCTCTTGTTGTGTGAATTTAGACAGTATATAATATTGTGATACTCTGGATCCTTGTATCTCTAAGTATCTAATCCAGGTGTCTATGACTGGCTCCCAGAGATTTAAGTTCAGAATTCACTGTCATACATACAATGTAACAAATAGCAATAAGGCATAGTTGGCAAACACATTAGTACTACACTCTAGGCACACTTTAAATTAAACATGCTTGGGGCACCTGGGTGGCTCAGTCGTTAAGCATCTGCCTTCGGCTCAGGTCATGATCCCGGGGTCCTGGGATGGAGCCCTGCATCGGGCTCCTTGCTTGGTGGGAAGCCTGCTTCTCCCTCTTCCACTCCCCCTCCTTGTGTTCCTGCTCTCGCTCTCTCTCTCTCTCTCTCTCTCTAATTAATTAATTAATTTTAAAAATCTTGAAAAAAAATAAACATGCTTTTCAAGCATTCTGTATTTATACATTTTTTTTTAAGTTTTTCAAATGTAACTCATTGGTTGAAAACTGTCTCAAACCTAGATTTAATGAGCCACAAGTTATCCAAATTCCTGAACTATTAACCTCAAAATAATAAGATATATCATAAGCCTGAAGTTAACATAGTTCTGCTGTTGACTATTAATTTCTAACTGAAAGTGTACTTTTCCTTTTTTTTTTAAAGATTTTATTTATTTGACAGAGAGAGAGACAGTGAGAGAGGGAACACAAGCCGGGGAGTGGGAGAGAGAGAGGGAGAAGCAGGCTCTCTGCCGAGCAGGGAACCCAATGCGGGGCTCAATCCCAGGACCCTGGGATCATGACCTGAGCCGAAGGCAGACATTTAATGACTGAGCCACCCAGGCACCCCTGAAAGTGTACTTTTCTTAATTTCAGATCTTTTTCTACTAGTTTTTTTGTCCCCACTCAACATAAACCTTTATTAAAAAATACTTACCCAACTTAATATTTCCAAGACAGTTATTTTTACTTCAGAATAGGGTTTAGGTTAAATAGTCATGATAATCTTCAGTTTTAAACACCAGCCAGTTTTTAACCAACATTACTCCTACTCTATATGCAGGGAACAAAGTCTTCTGGTTTGGAGCAAAGAAAATGGAGACTTCTTAACTCCTAAATTTAATAAAAGTATTTAAGATATTTTAAAATTAATGTTTTCTAATTATGTTGTTTTCTCTTAGGCACGTATTGGCAAGGGGAGATACAAAATCTTGATTAAACAGAGGTCTTAATTATAAAACAGCGTATGTTATAGGAATCTACCATTTTATCCAGTGGATAAAATCACAAGTGTTAGGCTGATTATGTTGAGATTTCCAGATTCCATTTTTTATTTTTACTTGTTAAATAAGAGACAAGTACTACATTCTGTTGTCAATAAATTTTCAAAGATTAGTGCTATATTTTTTTAAAAAGGTCTCCAAAACTTAAGGATGTGCACAAAAATTTAGTTTTAAGAATGTGAATCTATTTTGTATCCAATTTGTTAAAATTCCAAAAGCAGTTATTAACTATTCTCTTCAAAAGCATGAGCAGTATATATTTGGTATCTCTGCAATGTTTTCAGTATTAACAATAGCCTATGTGTTTTTTACAATAATGAAAATTGGAAACTACATAGACATCCAAGGATTGGGGACTGATTAAATAAGATATATATGTGATAGCCGGATAATGGAATATTTATTTAGCCAGTAAAAGCTAAGATGTTTAGTACAAATTAAATGTCACTAAACAGTGTGTACCGTATAATCTCATTTTTGTTTTAAAAAAAAAATCTATGTGTACAGTGGTAGGATCATGGGTGCTTCAATTGCAATGCGTTCTTTTTCTACACTGATTTTATAATAATTTTTCCCCAGAATAATTTAAACTCTGTTCCAGATCAAAATGCAAATGCTACCTTAATTTCACAACAAAATAAAACACAGGAGTGGAGTCAGAGAAATAAATAACTAACTCTAGATAGACTTAGTTGTAAACGTCCATGGGTTAGGTGAACCAGGTATTGGAAGTTGACTGATATTGGGCTACCATGTCAAATTGGCAAGTTATTGACATCGAATTTTAATGATTCAATACTTTCTATAACCTATTTAGTTAAAATTCCAGAGAATTTTTGTTGGGAGGTAATTCTCCATGGGTCTCTATTGGTTCGACATGCCTTTTAAGCAAGACACTCACTGCGCTATGCTCTGGGCTATTGTCTCAAAAATGTATGCATAGTGAAAAGCCTTGAAAGGCATGTTTATTGTTAAGTATAATAAATATTATGGTTCCCTAAGCTCAGCGTTCCTGTCCTGTAATGCAACACACTCCACCTGCAGGTGACTTCTGGTCCTCTTTGCATCACCCTGTGGGAAGTGGGGCAAAACTGCTGATATTTGGGCTACGGTTACTGCTGTACGTAATTCATCTCTGCCTAGGGGTCTGTGTCTTCTACAAAACTCTGGCAGACTGCTGTTAGCGTGCAAGTGGGATAAAAATCTCTGACCTTTCCCAGCTCTTGACATTTTTTAAAACTATGCTTTCAAAAAAAAAAACCCACCAAATGCTACATGTGCAAAAGCTCATTTCTGTCAACAAATATTTTATTAATCCCTTCATACTTACCAGCATTATTACGGTGGAACATCTGACAGAAAACCTGAAGAAAAACAGTACAACTATGTGTTAGAACTTTAGTGATTAAAAATCTTACCTCCTTTCATTTGAGCGACTCTAGTTTGGTGCCTAATGTGTAGGTGTCCTAGCCAACTAGCTTATAATGAAATCATCTGTACCCCGATGTGTCAGAAAAGGATCTTCTGAAACCAAGCCTGCATCCACTCTGAACAGATTTTTGCGTCCTTCGTGGTCTGACTGGTCCCACAGATACATTCAATTTTACTATACTGTATTTACCAAGCAATTTAAAATGTCTTAAAGGTCCTAACATGAATGTTCTGGGACAATACCCAAGTTCCCTCTCTTGCTGTGTCTCTCTCTGTCAAATAAATAAATAAAATCTTTAAAAAATAATAATAATAAGGTTCATCTAGCCTGGATCATCGCTTAGAAACCAAAGTATTTAAAAACAGATTTTCTGTCCATTAATCTCTGGGTTTCAGTGGAAGGGAGGCCTCCGCCCTCCACCTTCCACCCGCGAGGAGGTCTGTGGGCCGCACACAGCAAGCCCAGGCCTCGCTCTCCCACACACCTGCAGGGTCCGCCCTGAACGGAGGCGCAGGCACCTCGCTGGGGCTCATCCCCTGTGAGGAGCGCGTTGGATGAGGACGGGAGCACCGGGCCGGGCCGGGTCCCCAGGGCTCCTCCCTGACCCAGACCAGGCGTCAGCAGCCGTCCTGGCCTCCGTGCGGCTCCCGCGTACTCTGCACTCCGACCTCGTTCCTCTGCCTGTCAGTGAGGGTAACCCAACATGCACGCTGGGCCACGACTTCCCGCGCAGGCGCAGTCCCGGTCTCCCAGCCCTACGGCCCAGCGCAGCGCGTCCAACGTTCCCTGGCGGCGGCGGCCGTCACTTCCCGCGGCGTTGCTAAGCAACTGAGCCGTTTGGCAAACACTCGGCCGGCTGGAGTCCTACTCGCCCAGCGTCGGGGTCGCCTTTCCAAGTCACAGAGGGCACCCCGTCAGAGATGCTGGTGCGGTTTGGTAGGCGCTGTGGACGGGCGAAGGAAGGCACAGGTGAGCTAAACTGGCCTATCTAGGCACAGGGATTGTTTCTGGCCTCCAGGCATAGGGTGAGAGGCGAGGGTGGCAAATGAGAGTTTTGGTTACTTTTTGAAAAGGGCTCCACCAACTCGAAAGCAGCCCCATGGGCATTGTTGGGCTCTGTGTAAATGGACAGTTTTGCCTTCAGGTAAATGGGTAGGTGGGGAAAAGTTTACACATATAGGAGCGGAGAAAAGGTAAGTCAGAGACTCCCAGTTGACCAGTTGGTCTGATCCTCAAGCTGTGCAGTTGAGCTCCAAGAGTCTGGTGTTTGCTGAATTCCCTTAAGCTTTTGTTATTCACTGAGTGAATTGGTATATCTTTTGGAAATATCAGTGACCTCATTACAGTCTTGGCTGTGCTGTGAACCTACTGAGTGCTCTTAGGAAAGTCTCTAATGGAAATGTCTCAATTTCTTCATCTCTAGAGTGAAGGAGTGTAAAAAATAATGCTACTTAGGTATTGTAATCTAGATGACCTTTATAAAAATCTGATTTCTGAATAGAAGTAGCCTAGGGGGACATCTAAAGAACTCTTTAGCAATTCCAATGATTTTATTTTCTTAAGTCTGTAAATTCCCAATTAATGTTGTCATGGTGACCACTTGAACCTTGGGACTTTGGACTTTCTTCATGTCATTGCCTGAATTTCTGTAGCAGTAGAGCCTCTTTATGCCAGATGCAGGGTGAGGGCCAGCCATTGTCTCACCAGTGGACACTACTGGGTATTTCTGCAGTGAAGGGCCATAAGTAGCAGCAGAAGGTCCTGACTGGTTGGAGAGAGACAGTACCCATGTGACATGTATTGAAAAAACACAATTACTCTCACATACTCATTGTCTTATATACACAGTACTACAGTAAAAGACTTTGACTTATCTGATAGATGTTAAATAATGTTTTGTGTCATTCGGTCCAAAAGTTACCATCTGAGGGGTATCTGACTAGCTCAGTCGGTAGAGCATGTGACTCTTGATCTCCAGGTCGTGAGTGTGAGCCGCATATTGGGTGTGGAGATTACAAATAAATAAACTTAAAAAAAAGTTACCATCTGAGCCTCACTGCTAAATTATTATCTCCAGGGTGCCTGGGTGGCTCAGTCGTTAAGCAACTGCCTTCGGCTCAGGTCATGGTCCCAGGGTCCTGGGATCGAGTCCCACCATCAGGCTCCCTGCTCCGTGGGAAGCCTTCTTCTCCCTCTCCCACTCCCCTCTGCTTGTGTTCCCTCTCTCACTGTGTCTCTCTCTGTCAAATAAATAAATAAAATCTTTAAAAAAAAATAAAAAAATAAGTTATCTCCATTTAGAAGAGGGTGAAGTAGGAGAGGGGTTCAGATAGGTAGACCACTATCTGTAAAACAACTATCTAAAGATTTAGTGGGGTGACATCAGCCAGAAAGGTGGGATAAGAATCTCCAAAAGTCCTCCTCTCTAATAAATCAAAAAGAACACTGACAAAAAAATTGTCAGAACCAACTTTTGTTTGAGAACTCAGGAAGTTAACCAAAGGCTTGCAACAACCAGGAGTGTTTATCAGGAAAAATAGCTGAATCTTGGTAACAACAATAAGTTTTTTTGCATTTTAACTTGCTCTAATCCCATACTTTTCTCCTAGCCCCATGGAAGTCTAGAAAACCACTGCAACCACAGTGAAATCCAGTGGCTTAGTAACCTGTGAAGGGGGCAGAACAGGATTGGATCCTCCCCAAAGCCTCCCCGCCTTTTTTTAGATAACTGTTATTTGACCTGTCTCACAGTTCCCCTGGAAAATCCCACTCACAGGGCTTGATTTTATTTGACCTGACTCAGAGCTTACTGGGTATGTTTGTTAAAACGATCAGTAGCAACTTTTTTTTTTAAGATTTTATTTATTTATTTGACAGAGAGAGAGAGAGCAAGCAGGGGAAGTGGCAAGCAGAGAGAGAGGGAGAAGCAGGTTCCTGCTAAGCAAGGAGCCCAATGCAGGGCTCTATCCCAGGACCCTGGGATCATGACCTGGGCTGAAGGCAGCCGATTAACCAACTGAGCTACCCAGGCACCCCAACAACTTTAACATCACAGCTATCTGACATAGTGATAACTGTTGGGTATAAACAACAAACTAACCAAAAAACTTAAGAATACCTGGGAAATGAGATATCCATAAGGGGTAGAAGCTCCTTACTTATTCCTGGGAATCCAGAAGGACAAATGCATGCATAGTGCTATGCACATGCCCAGGAAATACCTGAGAATGAAGCTTTCACCTCTGGCTGAATTTGAGGCTCTCTGTGAGAAAAAAAAATAAAGGCTAAGACAGAGTTGTAAACTATCTGCCTGAGAGTTGAAGTCATGCTCCACCATTCACAGAGAGTTTCTTGGCAAAGTCTGGGAAACTTATTTAAGAAAATTAAATTTAAGGAAACTCTATCCAGTTATTAGCTGACAACTAAACTAACCAAGCTGAGATTCCAATAGCCACATACAACAAAGAATACAGACTTTACAGGCTTAGTTCAGGAAAATCACTAAACAAACAACAACAACAAAAACAAACAAACAAACAAAAACCCTGGGTGTGGGGGGAATCTAACATCTAGACTTGCCACATATTACTTAAAATGACAAGGCATGCAAAGAAATAAGAAAGTATGTCCCAAACAGGACAAAAGTTTTAATAGGAACTGTTCCTGAGGAAGCCAGATGTTAGACTTCCTAAACAATTTTCTTGTGTAAATTTATAGCCATTGTAAGTATGTTCAAAGAACTAAATGTCAAAGGAACTACAGGAAAATATTAAGAATGCCATCTCACAAAATAGACCATATCAATAAAGATACAGAAATTATAAACAGAAACTAAATAGAAATTTTGGAGTTGAAAAGCACAATATTTTAAATGAAAAATTCACTAAAGGGTCTCAATAGCAGATTTGAGCTTGCAGAAGAAAAATTCTATGAATTTGAACATATGTTGATTGAGAGTGTCCAGTCTAAGGGGTAGGTACAAAAAAAGAATGAATAAAAATGAGCAGAGCCTCAGAGAAATGTAGGACACCAACAAGTATAACCAACATGCATGCAGTTTGAGTCTTAGAAGGAGAAGAGGAGAGAAAGGGGTAGAAGAAAATATTTGAAGAAATAATGACTGTAAACTTCACAAATTTGATGAAAAACATTACATATTAAAGAGCTCATTGATCTTCTAAATAGAATAAACCCAACAGATCCAGAACCAGACATAGCTTGATCAAACTGTCAAAAGACAAAAGCAAGAGCAGAATATATATTCCTCTCAAATGCACATGGAACTTTTTTCAGGATAGACCATATGATAGGCCATAAAACAAGCCTTTATACATTTAAAAGGATAGAAATCATACAAAATATATTATCCAGACACAGTGGAATGACATTAGAAATCAATAATAGAAATTTGGGGAATTCACAAATATGAAGAAATTAAATGCTTTTAGATTTTAAAAAATGGGTCAAAGAAGAAACCATGCAAATCAAAACCACAGTAAATGGTGACTGTATGGTGACTAACATAACATAATAAAAAGATGGTGACTGTTAGAATGGCTATTATCAAAAAGATAAGAAATAACAAATGTTGGTGAGGATGTGGAGAAAAGGGAAGCCTTGTGCACTCTTGTTGGAAATGTAAATTGGTGCAGCCGTTATTGAAAACAGTATGGAGGTTCCTCAAAAAATTACAAATGGGGCGCCTGGGTGGTTCAGTTGTTAAGCGTCTGCCTTCAGCTCAGATCATGATCCCAGGGTCCTGGGATCAAGCCCCGCATCGGGCTCCCTGCTCAGCGGGAAGCCTGCTTCTCCCTCTCACACTCCCCCTGCTTGTGTTCCCTCTCTCGCTGTGTCTCTCTCAGATAAATAAATAAAATCTTTTTAAAAATTACAAATAGAATTACCATATGATCCAGGAGTTCCACTTCTTGGTACTTACCCAAAGAAAATGAGGACACTAATTCAGAGAGATATCTGCACCTCCATGTACATTGCAGTATTATTTATACAAGTCAGGATATGGAAACAACCTAAGTGTCTACTGATGGATGAATAGGTAAAGAAAATATGGTTTATATGTACAAAAATATTATTTAGACACAGAAAAGAATAAAATCTTGCCATTTGCAGTAACATGGACTTTGAGGGCAATAAATCAGACAGAAAGACAAATACTGTATGATGTCACTTATATATGAGAAACATAAAAAACAAACAAAAAACTCCACAACCCCCCCCCAAAAAACCAAGCTCATAGATAACAGAGAGCAGATTGGTGGTTGCCAGAGGCAGGAGGTGGGCAGTGGGAGAAATGAAGGAAGTCAAAAGGTACAAATTTGCAGTTATAAAATAAGTCCTGGAGATGTAATGTACAGCATGGTGACTATAGTTAATAATACCATATTGCATAATTGAAACTTGCTAAGGGAGTAGATCTTAAAAGTTGTCACAAGAAAAAGATATCAATATGCTTAACAATATGTTAATCAAAAGGTAGATGGTTTAACCTAGTAGCCTTTGTTTAGTTAGCCTTTAATTGTAAGTAGCACAAATCAAGTTGAGACAGTTTAGGCAAAACAAAGGAAATTT